CGCGGAGAAGCCACGAGTCCGGCTTTATGATAGTTATTAATATGAAATAGTCAGCCACCGTGCCCATTACGGACATAATGGGACGCAATTTTTTCCCGCGACAATGAGGCACCCCGTTAAACACTCGATGTGTTTGCATTATTCACGCGGATGATTAAGCTTCGTTAATATATCCAATGGCAGCATCACGACTGACCAACGCTGTACAATGTACGCAACGTATACGTGAAACAAAGAGAATTTCCTAATCGAAGAAAAATTCACGCCTCTCTCTGTGTGACCCTTTAACCCTTTCGTGACTAGAGGGACGCGTATGTCACGCTTGAATACGGGAATAAAAATCGACGTCGATTTAGTATCCCTTATGGACGCGGGGATCGACGAGTAAATTGCAAATTTAAGGAAAGATGATACGGTCACGAAAGGGTTAAGTGACCACTGACGCTCACATATTTGGAAATAAATGAAAATGAAGAAACTTAGGAAAGTTGAGAAATTGAGTATTAACCCTTTGCAGGGAGGATCTTCTTGGAAATTTTTTCAAACTAACGTAGAAATAAACTGTGCGATTTAAATCTTCAACTCATTCTCTGTTTCACTGTGGCGAACAAATTCATGGAGGCCCATAGATCTGCTCTCTGCCTTGATTCATTATTTACCAAGTGACAATTAATGTCGCTTCTCAGCCGCCACTCCATTGCAAAGGGTTGATCTTTCCTTTCGTTTAATTCAAAAAAATCATTTTCTGTTTTCCTTTAATAAACAAAAAAGTTGTTCAGACTTCAAAGCGTTGAAAAGGGAAACATTCCTAATTCTACTATAATTATTAATCCCATATGAATTACCGAAGATGCAGCAACGAACTCTGTTATCAGAAACGAACCGTGTCTCGCAAGGAACATCCTGCTGCTTAATTCTCAGGTTTCGACATACTTCCCACGAACGAAATGGCCCAGTAACAAGCAGGTAGTGTCGTTCGACGCTTCGTTTCCGCAAACGGCATTCAACCACGACCACCACGTACGGATTTCATTTTGTCAGCGGCAGAGATTATTGCTACCTCACGAGTCATCGGTTCCGCAAATAACCTGTCGACGCAGGTAAAAGTAAATGCCACGGAACCAGGTAGCGCTGGGATCAATGGTGAAAAGTAATCCTATCTTCATTGTGCTCGACCGAGACAATGATGTAAAACAGCGCCGGCGGTAAATCGAGGTGTTAAACGAGCACCATCGATAACACACGGTTGTTGGAAGCGATCCGTGGAAAGGGATAATTAGCTGGAATTGCTCCTGATCATGATTCCTCGGTTTCTATTCAACGGACGTGTCGGCTGGTAATTCTTGGGAACGGGGACAAGCTAATTTCTAGACACTTTTTTTTACACCTTTCGGTCAACGATAACGACTGGTGTGAAAGGAATGTCGAAGGATAACAGAGGAATTCTAGTTTTAAGGATAATTGCCTGAGAAATGTAGGGTTAAATATTGAAAATATATTGGAAAGGCTTGAATAGTAGAATTCTTCATTTTAATGCGTTAATAAAATGACTAGCATGAAGAAATGGTGATTTAGAAAGAATAACACAAAATTGGAATATTTAAATTTTAACGAATGTAAAATCCTAATATTTAATTAAAAAAAATTGAAATTTTTAAATTTCAGAGAATCCATAATTGTAGATGGGACTAGTGTTTAATTCCGCCAAGTTCCAGGAGATTAAATTTGCCCAAATCTATCATAATCCTCGGAGTAACAGTATTAACCATGAAATACGACCAGAGTTGATTAAAAATCCGTCAAGAACACTCGGTTTTGGTCGCAATTCTCCTCGATCCATCCCCAATTTCCCTATTGTCTGATCACGAGGTCAAAGTGTCCCGCGGCGCGAGCCATTTGTCGTGGTGATTCGATGAAACCGAACTAGCAAAAGGGAAAAACCGGCTTTCCTTCGAAAGGGTTTCCTCGTGGCCATACTCGCGGCTGTTTAAGGTTATTTGTTTATTAGCCTACAATGGATCTTACAACCGCTAGGTTGTCAGGATTAGGACCATTAATTCTCGTTATTCGCGGGGTCCCACTAATCAGGCTTGTTGAAACCAGGCGACGTCCGCGAAGCTACGGTAATTTACCTGTCATCGGTGGTACCGACCTGTATTATCACTGGCGTAAGTGTATTGCAAGCAAAAGGGATTATTTCGTGTAATTTATATTCTATTACGCTCGTCCTGGAATTTTTTTCAGTGGAACAGTGTCAATATTTTGTTTCAATATTGATCGCAACAGATTTGGAAGTAGAAAAATATTGTACCCTTTTTTTTTTTTTAATTTCGTGTTCATCCATGGTGACATAAATATGAAAACGAAAGTTGAGATCCTTTCGTGATCCGTTTATTTATTTTTCATTTACAGAATATCGTATCTGTAACGAATACTGAATTAAGATCAATTTTTGCTCGGCTGTTTACCGAAAGGGTTAAAGTCCAACAGGTGTAACCATTAATTTCCCATCGAGCACTGTCAGCTGTAAACTTTCTATAACGTATCGTGCTTCCATATCGATTTATATTTGAGGGAAAAATATATCGTAGAAAGAAGGTTGTCTGAGGAAATTGGTAAAGGAGCGTGGAAATATAGTTGTCAGAATATCGACGCTGAAATATCGAACGTATTTAATTCCCCAGTGCGATACACGCGAGCTTCTTCCGCGTTTAATAGTTGCCGTTTGTACACCCGGAAGCGGGAAGAAAAGCTGGAAACACCGGTGTGCGTCTGGTGTAATTAATCGACGCCTGGAGCGAGTAAACTCGGTTAATTGGATAAGTAAACGTAAGGTGGGGATGGAGGATACAGTTGGTCGTCGCGTGATTACGTTGCTATCCAGTTTCCGAGAGAAGGGTTAAACGTCAAACGAATGAAATTTCCACCTCGTTTCACCGTGCTAATTTATAAACGAGTGGTTCGCGTGACTCTCTACCGGCTTAATATTTTTCCGCTAATCGCGTACTTAAACCTACAGTCACACGAACGTGACTCTCGCCTTTTCCCTGTAGTATTTGCTATCTCGAGTACCCGGAGAGAGAGAGGAAAAAATGGGTTGAATTACGATGGAATACTACGGTGTTGCGACAGTACGCGGGAAATATTGTGATCGGTGGTAATGAATGGCGAGAGACATGCTTTAGAAGTGGAATAGACGGCTTGGAGATAATCCTTGCAAAGTGGCTGTCGTGAGACCATAGTTGATTTCGGATTAATATGGTGTGGAGATTAGGGGTAATTGTCTTAGACGGAGACATGTCGGAAACATGTCACGAATTTTCTAAAATACTAAGGTTACCACGTTTAACGTGGAGGATAAAGGTAATTGTCTTAGCAATTTAGGGTTAAATATTTTCACGTAAGTATGTTTAGGGTAAGAGATATTGAAAAATTTACGAGTTCCAAATTCCTACAGAACTGTTGGCTTAATACAATACTGAAAATATTGAGTAAATTTACGAAGGTTCCATGTATGATAATTTCACTCCAATTCAATAATTGTTTTATGATATTCAATTCTGCAGAAAATTCAGAAATTGAGAACTTGTCATTATTTTTGCAAATTAGACGCAAAATCATTTAAGAACATGTTCAACTAATTATTTAAAAAGAATAGCACACAAGTGATTCAAAATTCAGAAAATTATCCTATTCAACAAGTGTCACACATAAAATCTCCAAAATTTACTCCAAAACCCCTCACAATACTCTGCTCCAACAACAACCCTTCAAAATCTCCACCTCCGGAACTCCAAATTCCTCAGAAAACCACCCTTAACCCTTCCAAATTTCGTCTGACTCCATCAAAAAAATCAGCGCTCGGAATCACAAGAATCCCACTTCGAAAGTACTCTCAAGGCTGCTACAGCACGCGTGTCCGCAGGCGTCGACGTCGCGGCGCGACGCGTCAGTGGCCATCCTCCCACGGTAGGCGTGCCCCGGAAGGCGGAGTCGCGACATGCGCCGTATCGTGTATCCCGCCCCTGGAAACCGGCGAGATTGGCGAGAGTAGCGAACGAGTAGCGGGCCTCCAATTGGCAGCGGTGCCATCAACGCCAATGGAACGCTGGTATCAACCAGGGAACGTCCACCAGTGGCGGAGCCTCTGCTAGCATCTCACGCTGCGACTCGCGGCCTTCGGTGGGGGTAAGGGGGCGTTTCCAGGAGGCAACGAGGGCCGAGTAAACACGAGAATCGCCGAACGATCGTTTCCAGGTGCCGCATCGGACGACGACGAGAGTGGAAGAGAGACAGAGGCGTGCAACGAGCAGGGAGAGCGAGAGAAACGGAAGGATGGAAGGGACAAAGAGAGAGAGGGCAGGTTCGTAAACGCCGAAATCGGCCGAGTTGCTCCACGGCGGGAGCCCAGCGCTGACTCTCAGTCCCGCTGTGAACGCAGCAAGGAACACCACGGATGTTTCACCCTCCCTGTTCGCCGCGTTGGAGACGTTGACGCGTTGTACGTCGCCGAGTCGTGATCGTCACCCTAGTCGTCATATCACTGTGGCTGACTATCGTTATTGTTGTTGTAATTGTTTCTAGTACTCGTTGTTTTATCGCTGGAACTTTGTACGAGAGAGAATCTTTAGGCACTGTGAACGATGGAAGACTGGTACGCAGTTCGGTGAATCTATGATTAAATTAATCGTCAAGGAACATTCGTTGAGAGAGACTACCTTAGTTTCGTTCGTGTGTTGACGAAAGTGAAAATCGATCCAGTGACAAAGAGGAGAAAGAGATCAAAGGAACACATGGACAGTGCGAGTAGCGAGAAAACAGTGGACCGAAAGTGGTATCTTCATAGACAGTGTACGATATAATTCAGTGGTTTCTAACATACAAGTGCATCCTTCGATACAAACTAGGAGTTACGTTCAACTCCCACGTTCAAAGAGACATGATCTCCTTCGTCCACTGATAATCACCCCTGGAGCAGCGTATCGTTCCCCTCAGTCACGATGATGAACGCTTTCCTGGATGGCGTGTCCTCGCACCCTCACCACCTGGCCAATCTCGGTATCAAACTGTCACCGAGTGGCGGAGGTGCCACCGGTGGTTCCACGGATGGTGGTGCAGGTGTCCAACCAGCACCGGGCGAAGCACCGTCTCAACAGCATCACCATTTCCACCCTCAAGGTTATCCCCCTCATCATCCTCATCCGGCGTCACACATGGCGCCTCACATGGGCCATCACATGAGCCATCATCCGGGTTACGCGGCTCGCGATTTCCTCCTACGTCGCGAGCACGAGTTCAACGCTACCGCGAATCCGACAACGCCCGAGAGCGGTCTTGGTCTGTTCACGCCGCTTCATCACGACGGAACAGCCGCGACTATGCAACAATTCCCTCATCATCCGAGTCAACATCCTCTGGCCGCCAGCCATTATCCTGGACATTATCCGCAGGACTCGAGGCTACCGCCGCATCATCAATATTTAGGAGCTCCCCATCTAACGCCAGCCTCGATCCACCATCAACAGCATCCAGCGGTCAGTCATCCGAGTCATCATCCACACGGAGCGTTCTTAAGGTACATGAGGAGCAACGGAAGCGGCGGTGGTGGTAGTGGCGGCGTGGCCGGTGGCCAGAGGCAAGAGATGTCCTGCATGTGGGTTGACCAGGACGCACCAGGACCCGGAAGGAAGCTGTGCGGCAAACTTTTCAACTCCCTCCACGATATCGTGACGCACCTCACGGTGGAGCACGTGGGCGGGCCCGAGTGCACCACGCACGCGTGCTTCTGGCAGGGATGCGCGCGTAACGGCAGGGCCTTCAAGGCCAAGTACAAGCTCGTCAATCACATAAGGGTACACACGGGGGAGAAACCGTTCCCCTGTCCCTTCCCCGGATGCGGAAAGGTGTTCGCCAGGTCGGAGAATCTTAAGATACACAAGAGGACGCATACCGGTGAGTAGATCGCTGGTTACACTCGTTTCGTTAACCCCTTCTCACGGAGGAACATGGATATGTAAGTACAGGGTGTTTCTGCGTGGAAAGATCAAATCAGTTTAAGAGAGAATCGTCTCCGATTGTAACATCAAACTTGAAACACCCTGTATATGCACCCTTGCGTGCATAAAGTGAAGTTTGAAAGCGAATTTGTATGCAACTTGGAACGCAATTAAAAACTTGTGTCGTATCGATATAGATGAAAGTAATCGTGCAAGAAAAGTAAGATTAGAATGTTACAAACGACAATGCCTGTTACAATTTTCATTTTGGAAAGCTGCTAATTTTGTGTCATTTTGATCTTGAAAAATGGAAACTTTCTCTAGTCTTAAATCGTATATACAAAGTGTCCAATTTTTTTCCCGCCAAATGATGCTATTGTGTTTTATGATACCAGTAAAAGTAAGAAAAAAATTCTATAAGTTTTATTAGATCGTTGTAACGAAATTGCGAAATAGGTTGGAAACGGTAATGACGGTCTCGCGGTTAGTATATTACAAAGTACGAATAGACCAACGATATTTACACCTAGTCTATTTATACCACTTGTTTACTATCTAAGGTTGGTGGAGGTGTAGAAATGCAACTTCTGCCAGTGCCATTATTGTCTTGTATAATAGAAACCGCGAGTCAGTTGCCGTTCTCATTGTACCTCGTATAAACCTTCTAACGACCTGTGTTTCGGTAACGTTTATTTCTTAGGTTTACCCGTGGCACATGCTGGTACCATTTGGCGAGAAAATTTTGGGCAAACCACTGTGCAATTTTCGTAGAATGTAACACGAGAAATAATAGCACGGCGAAAGGGTTAAAATCTGTGGAATATCGTTGATTCATTTTGTGAGGTGAATTAATTAACGTTAATTTTGGAATTGCAATATTTTCGAGAGTCTTCGGATCACCGATTTGGTACAGAATGATTAAATAGCTAATGTGGAATCTAAAATCGCAAAAAATAGCGCAAGGAAAGGGTTAAGATCTTTGAAATATCGTTGGTTAATGTCGGACATTTCTCAAAATCTTCAGATCACCGATTTGGCACCGACTTATTAAAGTCGCAAATCCATAAATCGCCAGATCCACATTCATAACTCCTCTCCTCTCCACGACTCAACGAACGACTCGAGAAATACCTCGAAATTCCCACTAGAACCACTGATCCAAATCAGCATTCCTCTGTTTCCACGAACGACTAACCCACACCGTGGACAATTCCGTCCGAAAGCTAGTAGACCACCGTCGAGAAACGGGCGAAATTACCACGAACGTAACGCGCGCGTCGAATCCCTCGCCGTGAATCACCAAACGAGAGAATGGTCGTTAAAGAAACGTGAAAAGGACCATTGGTCGATTAATACGAAAATGGTCACCTATGTCTGTTCTTAAGGGACATACGGTTAAAAAGAACCGTCTAACAAAGGAAAGGCAGTAATCGTGCTGTACCAGAGAGAGAGAGAGCGAAATCGTTCGATTTCGGGGTTCCATAGCGACAACGGAAGATGCGTATATTATAAAATAAAATGTTTCAGGGCAGTAACTATCGCCGTTTCTCGTTCCTCCGGGAACGTCTCCTCTCTGGTCAGGCTCGTTTTTTGGTCCAGCCTTCGTTTTCGTCCACGAAACGCCCCCGGCGCCTCGACTCGTCGTTTCAATATAATCAACCGGCTGTTTACGATGACAAGAATTTTTCGGGGCGCAATTAAGAAATTACCGGGCCATATATCGTGCCGTTTTATGTCTCGCGTCCATGGACAATGTATTTACATGCTTATATACACGCACGAAACGAGCCTTCGTCATTGGACGAGACCCGACGGATAGACGCCAGGCGTCCAAGCTTACGGATCTCTTTCTCTTTCTCTCTCTTTCTCTTTTTCGACTGGCTGCTGTTACGAGATTCCTTTCTGGACAGTCACTACTAATTTCACCTTGTAGTTTTATTGTCAGACGGAGAACTGGAAACCGTGTGTGTTTACTTGTGCTGGTTATTTCGTTTTCTTCTTTTTTTGCTGTTTCAATTTCGACGTCTTGACGCTGCTCTTGGTTAAACCGTACGGGGACGCGTAAATCCATTAACGCGTGCATCTGTCGCTGAACCGGCGTCGTTATGGAGTTACACACGTTGTTTCGGAATTGATGGAATTACGAGGAAATATTCGGGTGGGGTAGTTCTGATTCGATTACGTTTTTTTTTTTTTGGATTTGTAAAGCACAAGGTGCGAGTGTCGGGACAGTTATTACGTTTGTGTAAAGGGTATTATGTGATTTGAATTATGGTACGTTTCTCTGTCAGATTTACTGTAAAATATCAGTGAAAACATATGTTCTTGTTATACTACAAGATTCCACGATTAATTATTTTCAATAATACAATAATGATATTTATGAAAGATACCGTAGATAATTTCATTACTTTATTACATTTGATCATTTCTGGATGACCCTCTAGAAATACTATTTTCTCAGATTTCAATAATTTCATCGCTCAATAATCCGACTTTGCGTTTACTCCGCATTCAAAAATTGTCCCAACACGCACGAACACAGCTGTCGAAGCGTTTCTTCTCAGATTTCAAGTATAATCGCAATTCGACAATTGTCAAACGAATCGATCGGCTAAAATTCGTCACTCTAACGAAAGAAAGAGACGATCGTCGGCTGCGCCAATTTTCTCGCTCTCAACTCACTTCGATGGGACGGACACTGGTTAAAGAAAGTTAGAGTACAAGAGTTTTACAGCGTAAAGCGTGTTTTAATGATCGCCGCGAGCGAGAATTCAATTAAGGGTCCCGGGAACGCAATATTGTATCGCTTCTGATCGCATACTTGAGCGCTGCACCGCTTCCCCGGTATTTCCGTTCGCACGGATTTCACGCCTGCATCGTTTAACCGCCCTTCGCTCCTAGGGACCGCGAGTCGCGCCTAGGGAACCTTTGCTTCCACTTTGAACCGAGCGGTGCCCTTTCCGTCGCCGTCAATCTCCACCGACTCGGCCAAGATTCAATCTCTCTCTCGTTGACGATCGAACAGGAACGTGTATCTCTCGTTAAAACGATCAGACGAACGATTTTTCGAGGACGATGCCGAATTTTTATTTTACTGTTTATTCTGGAATTTTTTGAGGCAACTACGACGGTGATTTTAGTTTGGAAATAGTTTGGATTTGTGGAGACGTGTGAATTTGGTGATAACTAGCAATTTGTCAGGAAGTTATGCATGTTTTATCGGCGATTAATTTTAGAAATGATTAGCAAATTTTTGTAAATTAATTAGGGAATTCTTGTGTGATAGAAATTCATTGTAATTTAAGTATTGCTTGTTGTTGAAAAACTGCAAATTTATTGCCCCAATTTGATATCACGTTTCGTAACCGATGATTACCAAATAAATGAACGTTCTCGACAACTTCTTTTTACCTCGTGTTCTGCAAAATTCATGGAGTGTCTCATACTTGAAATTGGTCACCTTAATTCAACGCCCGATTACACAATCAACGATTACCGAATAATTTGATACTTTCAACCTCGTTTTACCCCACGTTCGTCATAATTTATTAAGTATTTCAAACTTAAAATTGATCACCCTAATTCACGATAACGATTACCAAATAATTAACCATTTGCAACCCTCTTTTACGACACAAACCTCAAAATTTACAAACCTAAAATTGCTCAGTCCAATTCAACATCGCATTTCCCAACTAACGATTACCAAATAAATACAAATTTTCAACCCCAAAATCTACAAAATTCCCAAACCACCTCGAACTTCATCTTACTCACGTTAGTTCAACTTCTTGCCAAATGATTCAAGAAAATTACTCCCAAGCACAGCAAGAGAGAAACTACGACACGCAGATATACGCAACTTCGATGTAGGCACACAGAGAAAGAGCGTGAAGGGAGGAATCAATTAAAATTCATTTATCCGACGCGTCGGCGACTGAACGAACGAAACGAACGAAGGCCCTCTTGCGAGAGAGTAGAGACCCCTTTCGAAATAAATTGGCATTTTGAAAAAAAGCGCTCCACGCACGGGTACACGCTTTGTTTCCAGGCGTTCCCCGTTTCACGCGCGTGCACGCTCACGATGCCCCTTTATTGCCCTTGCCCGCCACCCTCCTTTTCATCGGCTCTCCGCCGTGTAGCGCGGACAAAAGCGATCCGACGACGGAATTCTTTGTTTTTATCGGCGATACACGCCGCGGCCAAATATTTTGGCTCGCGCGAATTCACCGGTGTTACGTAACAATCTCTCCTATGAGCCAGCACCGTGCTTTGCGTACGCACCTTTGCGAACAATCGAACCGGCGCAATTTCGTCCAACTTCTGCGAAACATTAGGCCGACGCGCGTGAAAATATTTTCCTTTGGGGTTTCGAGTGTTTTGTGGGCTCGAAGTAATTGGGAAACTTTGATTTTGTGCTTTGAATTTCGTTATGAAATTCTGTGTACAATTGATCTCGTCGAGTGTGTTAATTTCTGGAGGGGAATTTTTTTTTGTGAGGTTTAGAAAGAGGTGTAATAGTTGTAGAAGAGTGTAGAGTAATGCAAGTAAAAAGTTTGCAAAGATGTTGGGAGGAAAGTTTCACGTTCGACAAAGTATCCTGGATCAGAAGTTCCCGGGAAAGTTTGCCTCGCGAGCAGCTGAATCGTTTCCAAACATTTCCTCTGTTCTCTACTTCTTTTTCCGAGCTTTCGGCGGTGCCTTAAAAAATCGAAGCTTTTTTGGCTTTTCTAATCGTCTGTATACTCTATTAGCTTGCTGCAGATGGAATGGCAGAGGTGTTGATAACAAGCCTTCAACGTGTGAAATTTCAGTAAAAATATAATACTTTTGACCGTTAAGAAGAGAAGTTACTTGTTTCTTCGTTAAAAAAGATTTAATTAAATTTACTTTTGACCAAAACAAAGTTTTACCCAACTAAAAGGTGGGCAGAGAAGTTTAACCTTAGAAGAA